CGTGAGTTAGCTCCGGTGTTAGCTGCTGCTGCTAATCGTGAGTTAGCTCCGGTGTTAGCTGCTGCTGCTGCTGCTAACCGTGAGTTAGCTCCGGTGTTAGCTGCTGCTGCTGCTAACTGTGAGTTAGCTCCGGTGTTAGCTGCTGCTAACTCAGTGTTTTAATGACACCGCTGCGGCTGGTTGCAGACAGACTGACAGGTGAGACCAGGTGACTCGAGGTTGTGTGAACGGTACCTTCTTCAGCTCCAGGTCCACGGGCGCAGCCATCTTCGCAGGAGAACCACTGACACACACTGCGCATGTGCGGGGACTACCTTCTTCTTCGTCTTCTACTTGTTCGAGCAGCTGACTTTTGTCTCTACCTCTTTAATAATAATGATAACGACAGTAGTGTGAACAATTATATGACTGCTGACATTAAAGTTGCCCCTGGCCAGGGCAGGCTGCGGTCTCACCAGATGGGGGCAGTTATGTCTGTCTTGGTAAACAGCGACAGAGTGACACATCTTTGTTTGAACAGTAGAAAGCGGAGCGGAGTGAGACATCCGCCGGCGCTGTTTGATAAAATATATTCCGGAAACGGAAGTGTGTCAGCGCGCGCCATTTAATTTTAGAAGCGGATCCCGCGCTGATCAGTCAGTTTTGTGCGCGCGGACAGTAAACAAACGGCGATCAATCGCTGATCACGCGCTCGGCAGAAGTTCGAAAGTCGTGATCGGTTCCGTGAAACATGGCGACCCCTCCGAAGAGGCCGTGCTCCGGGCCCCGCAGCCCGCCGCTGGACGGCAGCTTCTCCCGCCGCCTCAAGAAGATCTCCATCGAGGGAAACATCGGTGAGTTCCGCCGCCGAACCGTCCGGAGCTCCGGGCTCCGCTGGACCGGCCAGCAGGCTCCCTGAGGCGGATCACTGCCGCCACCGGGACCGGGACCGGCACCCCGGCGCTGTGTCATCCGCCATCCCGCCTTCACAGAGCGGCTGGCGCCGAAACAAAGAGCTGATCAGCCGCTCATCGATAATCAATAACCTGTGTTTGTACTGTGATGGACTACAGAAGGAAGTTTATAGGACAAGAATAGTTTGTTCGTTTTTTGTCTTTATTATCAGATATCAGGGAGTTTACAGAGAAGTCAAAGGATGGGTCGCACATAGAGGCAACCACACACACACACCCACACACACACACACACACACACACACCCACACACATAAAGGCCTTTGTATACAAGCTCATGCTCAGCTCCCTGGTTACGGTTAGGGTCAGAGTCAGGTTCTGTTCTGTTCTGGAAGTAAAGTACAGAGAACAACAACACTGTGTGTGTGTGTGTGTGTGTGTGTGTGTGTGTGTTCCAGCTGCAGGAAAGTCGACTTTTGTTCGCCTCCTTCAAGCAGCGTCAGACGACTGGGAGGTGATCCCTGAGCCCATCGCCAAATGGTGCAACATCCAGAATGACAGCGATGATGTTTACCAGGTGAACAC